TAAATATTTTAAGCTAATATGGTAGGCACCACAGCAGAAGGAGGTTTGGTGCCAAGCTTTATATGGAACCAAATGAACAGAGCTTCAGAAAGACTTTCCGTGTGGAGATCTTAGACTACAGACTACCAGTTTATGATGTGTAGGGTCCTAGTTAGCCCAAGAAAAGTCTACATTCAGAGTTAAGACCCTGCCTTCTAAAAAGCTCATCTGTGCCCAAATATGGAAGCTTGCAAAGTCCTGCCCCTGCTCTGCTTCTTTTGATGTTCTGGTAGAGGGAGCCTGTGGGTCTGCAGGGATCACTTCTGCGTTTGACGGCAATATGGACTTGGATTAGTGGGTGTGTGATTCACAAGTGTAGAAGAAATCCCAGACCCGAGGAATACTAATGCATAGGGAGCACTGAACAACTCTAAAATACTGCGGTCCCTTTAAGGTCATACTCCTCATTATGACACTGGAGACCCTTGACATCTGTACCCGGATGTGGATCATCCTCACTTCCGCCATCCATTGCTGGACCGTGGCCATGAGAGACGAGGTTTCCAGGGTTGTGTAGCGCAAGGTGAATTCCTAGGGCTGATCTGGGGTCAAATTTGGGTTCCTCAGTGTGGACTGAAGAGACTTTCCTCTCACAGTCAAAGTGGCTCCAGGCTGGGTGTGGTGTGTGTCGGGAATAATTCCTGAGCCTCGAAGGCAGCGGCGCGACGACAGTTTCGACGTCCGGTGGGGAGTTAAGGATTTAGCGAGGCTCTGTTTCAAAATAGACAGTAAGTGGGCTGTGGGTGAAGCTCGGTGCCAGGACTCGGGGTTCAAATCTGTGGAGACAGAAACGGTGTGCGATGATGTACGTGGATTTGCGATACGGGGGGGATGTCCCCAAAATGCGCCCCCTCTTGCTGAGATAGTGCTCCGCAATGGAGACTTTTCTAGAAAGAGTCAGGTTAAAGAGGGCCTTGTTCTTAGGAAGCAGCTGTGACTGGATCTGTAAGAAAGACCTAGGCTCGTGTTCTCTCTCTCTCTCTCTCTCTCTCTCTCTCTCTCTCTCTCTCTCTCTCTCTCTCTCTCTCTCTCTCCCCCATCCCTCCCCCCTCCCACCTATCCCTTCCCCTCCCCCTTTCTCTCCCCCACCTCCATGTGTATTGAATCCAGGGGGCTTCTCCTGATTCCAGTCTCACATTTATTTTCTGTTTAAGCCATGTGGTGTCCATCATTCTCTAAATTGGCGAGACTGGACTACAAATTGCAATCCTCAAAATACAGGCCTTTACCAAAGCCTCAAGTCTTTTGTTAGTAATGGGAGGGTCATGGTAGAGGCTGAGATCATCTCTCCTTATAGTCTAGGTTGTTCTGACTTCCTTATCCTACTAGGCTGTACCTACACAAACCAGGGAACACAGGACATAGCAAGAGGAACGGTAACATTGACATATCAGTGAGGAAAACTCCACGAGAAAGGGGAGAATATGAGTCTACTTTATCCTGTGGCAGCCATTATTATCAGAAATTTCAGCCATAGAGAGCACAGAGAATGGCTGTCAGGTTGGGTCTCTCTCCTGCCCCTCCTTCTCCTCCCCTATCTTCACCCTTCCTCTTCCCTCTACCCCACTGTCCCTGTCTATCTCACTTCCTCTCTCCCTCACCTTCCTCCTTCTGCATGTATGTGCATTTGTTATTTGTAGATTTGAGGATTTAAACAGAACTCAGGCCTTTTTAAAATTTCAGACAGGGTAACATTACATTCCTGAGTAGCTCCGTTGTTCTAGAACTTCCAGACCTGTGTCAAATTCTCTTCTTGAGGTTCTGAATAGAGGTAAATATTTTAAGCTAATATGGTAGGCACCACAGCAGAAGGAGGTTTGGTGCCAAGCTTTATATGGAACCAAATGAACAGAGCTTCAGAAAGACTGAGCCCAAAAGGAATGAACACACAGAATTCTCAGCACTGTCTGTCTTTTGCTAGAGCAGCAGACTGAAGGTCCCTTAAGCTTTTCCCCTGGGTACCCAACAGCTTTTACTGTCAGTGTCAGAGTAGCACCAGAGAGTAGCCCTGGCACTGCAAAGATTGACTTGATTGCCTGGCAGAGGTGGGTGGTATCAAACACCGGAAGGCAGGTGTCACAGCCAGGCTGCCAGCTGTCCTGTCATCCCAGTTAGATCAAGGCGGGAACCAGAGGCCACCGACTGAGACTCACCCTCTGTGCTTAATAGGATCACCCGAGATGCTTAGAGGACAGAAGGACAAAGAGACCAGAAGCCTGTGCATGCCCACAGCGGGGCCCTCATGGAATCGAGTAGGGAAGCCATGTTTAACATCTCAGTCATCTGTTCCTTCTGAAGGTGCTCATGGTATCTCATTGTCCCCACTCCAGGTAACCCAATCTCCAGTCGCCACAGCCACATTCCTGCTGCTGTTTCAGACCAGAGCCGCTGTACTCAGTGGATAAAAGGGTAAGTTCTGTGCTCCTGAGAAACCCCCCAGGGTCCAGCGTGAGACCTTAGCTCTCAAAGATGCCCGCACCACTTCCTCCCAAGTTTCCCTGCACTGCAGTGGCGTGACCTAAGCCTGCACCCACAGTGAACCGTGCCAGCTCATCTTTTGCTTCCCCTTCTCTCTGCCCGTCACAGTCCCACGTGGACGTACATAGGCCCACCTGTCCCAGCCACGCAGCCAGGCACTATTTGCAGCACAGGTGTGTTCCACTGTCTGTAGCTCACAGTGCTCATGAATCCGTCCACAAGCTGTTGCTTCTAGCTGCCCCAGTCCATGCCTCTCTACACTTTCTTGCCCTGTTTCATACTCTCCTGGGGCATAGAGATTTCTGGAACTCCTGCACCCAGGGAACCTTCTTGCATCAGGACCTTGGGAGAATTCCGGGGTTTTGTTAAGTGTGTTTTCCGTCTTTTGAAAACCTTAGTTCATGCTCATGTGTGCCACTCTGCACCATGTGCGAACAGCCTGCCTTGCTCTGCTTTCTGGATTTTTTTTCTTTTTTCTTTTTTTATTTTTTTCGGAACCAGGGTTGAACTCAGGCCCTTGCCCTTGCCAGACAAGCACTTTTTGTACTGAGCTATCGCTTTTCGTACCCGGCCCCTCTCTGCCTTCATCTGCTGCCTTTTCCAACCTGTGGTACTATCCTCCTGTCATGTTCACCCATATTTCTGAATTTCATCCAAATCAGCTGGAGTTTTATAGCTTCTTTCCCTTTAATATGATGCACTTGAGGTGTTCTGATATGAGCTCTTGCTTCAAAGAACAGGAAAGTAATTTGTATCTGTATTCACAGTGCCACTTGCAATCATCCTGTGTTCACATTGAATGGTTTGTTTTCAAGGCCTGGCACATATACGCTCCTCTAAGGAGAATATTCTCAGGTACTGAGAACACTCTGGCTATACCTGGTGGAACAGAGAACAGTCTGATATAGGAGACACTGGAAGGCCCGGCCAAATGACTCAGTGAATTAAAGAGCCTGCAAGTAGGCACAGGGGCCGGGGGTTTGATCCCCAGGCCTGCCATGCCGTCCCCGCCCCTGGGCACACTGAGACTGCCGTTGAGACTGGGCATGGTGGAGCGCACTTGTAATCCCAGCTCTTGGGAGGCTGTAAACAGGAGAATCACTACGAATCCCATCTAGTAGTGAGACCCTAAAAATTCTGCAGACTCTTACTTAAAAAATACAAAAGAAAAAGAGACACTAGAATATACTTCCATTTTTATCTTCTCAATTTTTTGGTCATTATTTCCTATGTTACTTCAATATATGTTATTTAATATTTTTCTCGTAGTAAAAATTGACCCTAGCAAGCTACTTTCTCTTACGTTTTAATTTTTAAGAAAATGTTTAGATTGATTCTGGCTACATTGCCCCAGCTGGCTTTGAGCAGGCAATCCTCTCATGTCAGCCTCCTGAATTACTCACACCTCCAAAACATTTGCTGTGGTAAATTTCTATTGGTGATAAATCTTTTCAGGTTTTATATTTTTTAAAAAAAAAACTCTACTTGTTTGCTTTTAGAGTTATATTCACTGACTCCTGAATTCTAGATTAAGCTTTTTATCTCTTCTAATAATTTGTAGATTTTGAAATGATCCTCTACTTTGTGATGTTTTTTAAAAGGAAATCTGCTGTCATTTTCAATGTGGTTCCTCTGAAGTGTCTGTCTTTCCTCACATATTGTGAAGGTTTTCTCAGAGCCTCTAAGGATCCACTTGTGGTGCACCTGTGGCATGTGTGCTACAGTCAGTTGTTCTAACACAAAATGGTAAAATGTTCTCTTGTCTTTACAAAGAATTTATCACAAGATATCACATAATTCTCTTTACATTTGTTTTGCTGAAGGGCTTTTTCAGCATCTTGGAGATGTGAGTGGTTAATACTCTGAATTTTTCATTGAAATAGATCTTTGTCTCCTTTCTTTTGCCCCCATGCTCCAGAGAGTGCTGTCATTCCTTCTTGGCTGCCCAGAACCTTAAACATGATCTTTTGTGTATTTTTTCAGTTTTTATCACTTCTGTACTTTCTGATGTGACACAAGTCTTTGTCCAGTGATAGCAAACCCTTGAGTGTTTTCAGTGATAATAGATGACTGCAGCACATGTGCCATAGGTTCACCACCATTGAACTGCTGGAAGCAGTTCTTCTACATTAAGATGAGGAGATACAGTAATTTTTTAATCTTTATTTCTTTTTATTTATTTGGTGCAGGGTGTCACTACACAGCTCGGACTCGTAGTGATTCTTCTGTCTCTACCTTCCCCAGTGCTGGTATTATAGGTGTGCGCCACCACACCCAGTTTTGGTGGCCAGCGTGGCACCCCAGCTGGCATGGTATGTGGTGCCAGGGACCAAACCCAGGTCCTTGCGCTTAGACTGCTGAGCGATTATCTCCCCAGCCATAATTTTTTTAACTCTATAACTTTATAAAATTTAGTTCATGCTTTGATCACAGAATAGAAAGAAAACATATAATAATATTATTAATCGTTATCAACACTTGAAAACTATCGCTTGCAAGCTGCCTCCTCTTTATTATTTCTATGCTATCTCAGTGATTTGGCCTCTTTCTCATCTCATCTCCTGCAGTATTTTCCTCCTGGTTTTCATATTCATTTAAACCATTCTAGCAGATGGCAAATAGCAGAAAGGCTAACAGCACTAGATTGGAGACTGTGTATGAAGCCGTCATTATCTCAGCTACTTAAGGCCCTGTTGGTAAGGATAGGAAAAAATCTTGCCAAATCTAAGCTCAGTGACCCACCCTAATCACTTCCTGTCCAAATGAACTAACTCATCTATTAATGCTTTCCTCACTCTGTAGAAAGTTTGTCACCTTTGAGAGGTAAAATAAAAGTTAGATCTGGTATTGTTTTGATTCTCCCACTGTCTTTACATATTTCATTTTTTGATAGTAAAGCACTTAATATAATAGTAAAATAAGACAGCACGCATTAACTCACCTGAAGTCCCTGCCAAGCTTCTTTGTGTAGTGACAACATACATACTGATACACTGTGGCAAACAAGTTTTTGTATTACTATAGACAGTTAGGAAAATTGTATTACTGTATACAGTTAGGAAAACTTTAGTAGTGTATGTCCTTTTATCCTAAGATCTGACAAGATTAGCAGCTAATTGAAATGTGGAGAGTAAAATAGAATTATTATAATTTTTGGAGAATTTTTTATACTATTCCTGAATATTTTTAAAAATTATTAAGCAAATGACATAACTTATAATCCTAATTACTTTCAAATGAAGATTGTTTATACAAGAAATTTATATTCAGTATACCTTTGTGCCTTCTCTGATATTCTATAAACTATGCATCCTATAAAACCACAAAATCTTAATTCTTTTTTTTTTTTTTTTTCGAGGGGAAGGGTACCAGGAATGGAACTTATGACCTTGCACTTGCTAGGCAGGTGCTTGTGCTGCTGATCTTATTCCCAGCCCAAGAACTTAATTCATGTATTGTACTTTTTATTGTGATTCCTTAGGGTTTTGAGACTATGATCTAGGCCTTAGAGCGTACAGTACTGGGGCCATAAGTAAAGTGCTTAGCCCTTTAAAGTGATCTGAAATGAATTATAAGGATAGAGTGTATTTCTTATTTCAAATATTTCATAAAAGTTTGTATGTCTAAATGTCTTGGCCGGCCTGATAGTTCAGAGCACTAAAGCGTCTGCGTAGAAAAAGTGCAGTGGCTAAGGTTTGATCCCCTGCATGCCATCCCAGCCCTGCCCCCAGGGTGTGCTGAGATGGCAATTGAGATTGGGCATGGTGGCGCGCCTGTAATCCCAGCACTCGGGAGACTGAAAAGTGGAGGATCACTATGAGTCCGATCTACCTAGTGAGACCCTGTAGACCCTGTCCTAAATACAGGAAAAAATTAAATATCTCAAAACTAAAACATGTTAGAATTCTTGTTGCACATTCCTGCTTTTATTTTTATTTATTTTTTGCTGTGCTGGGGATTGAACTTTGCAGTGCTGGGGATTGAAACATTCCTTCTTTTAAATGTGGGTAGTAGATACTTTAAGATTGTAAGTGCCGGTCACACGCTATTTTCCTGGGAAGATTCTGGCTTAGGTCTTGTTTGTATCTCAAAGTGTAAGCTGATTTTTCCCATAAGTTTTTCAGTGTCATTCTTAATTCCCAAGGGTTTTCTAGCACTATTGAGTAATAATGCAGTAAAGAAGTTCATTCTTTGTCGTTCAGCACAGAGGACTCCCATGCTGGCTCTAAATCTTTATTATATAATTATTCAAATAATCCTGTAAATTGCAAAATACCAAGAAATGGAATATTTACTCTGGATACATGAATTTATAAGGGAAGGAGAGAGAGTAGAAAAGACTTTTTAATGGACAAAGGTATTTTGAAAACTTGAACTACACCAAACATTAAAATGAGCATCATTTCTTGCATGCAAAATATAAGACTTTTAAATAAATATACCTAACCCTAGTAAAAAGATAAACTTTGCTTGTCAACTGTGTATGAATAGCTTTGATAAAATATCTGTAACAGTTTTTCAGACTACGCCCCAAATGGAAATTTAGCCTAAGATAATGACAAGAGATTAGGATATAAACATATTTCTGCCAGTCAAGCATGAACCAAAGCCCAGGCCTAGCAGAAAATCAAAGCATGAGGAATCTTCTGCTAATAGACACATCTGTGGAGCCATGTATTTCCTTCCCTTGGTATAGAAATGACTAGGGGACACATAAAGGGCCAGGTTTCCCACTTGACCAGGGAGGATGCATAACATTTTAATCTAGATGTAAATGTAGTTATTACTCTATCCCCTGGGATAAAAGGGTGATATCAATGAAAATATACACTATATGTGTAAAAGATAAACGTAAGCCAAGACATACATGACTAGACACATAGATGATACCTTTAGTGATGAAAACACAGGATGTGAGATTGAATTATTAA